TTGGGTTACATGAGAGACCCCCCCCCTCAATCTCTATGTCCACTGATCTTTCAGAGTGACTCCATGTTACAGCCCATCCCGTAAAGTAGTTGTGGTAACCCACCTTATTTTTAGTTTGTCAGATGTACAGGGAACTTACACAATCTAAGATAATGGAGCAGGTAATTAAGGAAGTCATATGCAAACACTTGGAAGGTAATAAAGTGATAGGGAATAGCCAGCATGGGTTTGTGAAGAACAAGTCATGCCAAACTAATCTGATAGCTTTCTTTGATAGGATAACGAGCCTTGTGGATAAGGGAGAAGTGGTGGATGTCATATACCTAGACTTTAGTAAGGCATTTGATACGGTCTCGCATGATATTCTTATTGATAAACTAGGCAAATATAACTTAGATAGGGCCACGATAAGGTGGGTGCATAATTGGCTGGATAACCGTAGTCAGAGTTGTTGTTAACGGTGCTAAATCCTGCTGGAAAGGGATAACAAGGGGAGTTCCGCAAGGGTCTGTTTTGGGACCAGTACTGTTCAATATCTTCATCAATGATGTAGATATTGGGATAGAGAGTACGCTTATTAAGTTTGCAGATGATACCAAACTGGGTGGGGTTGCAACTTCTTTGGAGGATAGGGACATAATTCAAAATGACCTTAGCAAGTTAGAGAAATGGTCAGAGGTAAACAGGATGAGGTTTAATAAAGAGAAATGCAAAGTGCTCCACTTAGGAAGGAACAATCAGTTCCATACATACAAGATGGGAAGCGACTGTCTAGGAAGGAGCATGGCGGAAAGGGATCCTAGGGGTCATAGTGGACCACAAGTTGAATATGAGTCAACAGTGTGATGCTGTTGCAAAAAAAGCAAATATGATTCTAGTTTGTATCAACAGGTGTGTTGTAAGCAAACCTCGTGAAGTCATTCTGCCGCTCTACTCTGCACTAGTTAGGCCTCAGCTGGAGTACTGTGTCCAGTTCTGGGCGCCACATTTCAAGAAAGATGTGGAGAAATTGGAAAGAGTACAGAGAAGAGCGATTAAAAGGGGGGACATGATAGTGGTTTTCAAATATCTAAAAGGGTGTCACAAGGAGGAAGGCGAAAATTTGTTCCTCTTGGTTTCTGAGGACAGGACATGGAGTAATGGGCTTAAAGTGCAGCAGGGGAGGTTTAGATTGGACATTAGGAAAACATTCCTAACTGTCAGGGTGGTCAAATATTGGAATAAATTGCCAAGGGAGGTGGTGGAATCTCCCTCTCTGGAGATATTTAAGAACAGGTTAGATAGACATCTGTCAGGGATGGTGTAGACGGAGCTTGGTCCTGCCTTGAGGGCGGGGGGCTGGACTCGATGACCTCTCGAGGTCCCTTCCAGTCCTATTATTCTATGATTCTATGAATCTGGCATGAGTGTTGTTCACCCTGTTCAGCTAGCAGAGACAGACTAAAAAGCCAAGCCTCTGACCTGACACTGCTTTTTTTTCGGTCAATAACAGAGAGGCAGATCATTTCTCTTATGCCATAACATCATGCAGGAGATGGGTTCCTATGTTTCTCAGGAACAGGAAGGTAGCAGAAGGCTACTGCAACTTGTCCAGAGACCATGTCTCTCTTAGCAGCTCTTGGTCCCTGGTACCCCCTGCCCCCCAAACTCCAATGAAAGTTAGAGACATTTCAGTGTCTTGTGACTAGAATAACTAGGGTCTATACTTAAACTTAGCATTATGCAGAACACCGGCATTTAAGCTATTTATCCACAAATTTATTGGGGACTAAATTTGAAGTCCTTACTCAGGCAAGGCCTTCAAGAGTTTTGTCCTAAGAACAGGACTGGCCTAATAACTACACGTGTCAATGAACTCAATGTAGTTGTGTTGAAGGTGTCAGTCATATTCTCATTGGACTGATAGAAGGATCACAGAAATGTGTTGTTTTTATAAACACATACAATATTTTGGTCTACATACCTGGCGCAAAAGAGAAGACAGCAAAGCATTCTCCTGTAGATGCCACTGCCGTGACCAGAGAACGTCTTTTGTCAAAATATTGCGACAAAATGGTGACCGTCGGGAGGAAAGACAGACAGTATCCCAGGCCTGTGGATGAAGGCCAGAAATTGTCATGACAACGAGGAAAGAAGCAGGGTATGAATGTTAGAATAGCTAAGTCAGCTTTCCTAGTGGCGAGATTATGGTATTGGTTCTGCCAATTAAGTAGTGCACCCTAGGGAAAAACAGACTGACTTAGGATGTCCAAGATCCATTAGACCCACTTCCTACTCCCAAATAACTGGAAATTTCCAGTTTGAAAAAAAGGAGATGGATTTCCCTTGTTTTCTTTTGCATTCTTCTCAGGCACAGGAAGGCAGCCGAAGGCTACAGCTACTTGTCCAGAGACTTTGTGCCTCCTGGTGGCTCTGGATCCTTGGCCCATTCCCATAAACTCCAACTTCAATGAAAGCTACTAGGACATTTCAGTGTCTTGTGAGTAGAATAGCTAGGATCTTAAATTAAATTTAACAGAATGCAGCACATTGTTATTTAAGCTATTTCTACAAAAATTTCATGGAGACAAAATTTGAAGTCTTTACTCGGGCAATGTCTTCAGGAGGAGTTTTGCCCTAGTAAGGTGTGTGTCTGGTGTTCATCACCCTAGGGTTGGAGCACTTCATGGGCAATAGGTTTCTTTGTAAAATGCCCATGCCATTTGGCAAATATCCTGATTCCCAATTTACATTGGGGGACTGAGCTAGAGAAAGATTCAAGGGATCAATCCCGGCAAATTGCTGAGCACCTTCAGCTTCCACGGAAGTCACAGGGAAATGACAGTGCGCAGCACATCTGCTTGAGCATTTAAAATTTTCAGGATTGAACCCCAGGGGACTTTGCCACTAGGTTGTCCATACTTTCTCTCTGGGATGTGACTTCCTTTTGATGTGACAACAATATATAGAAAGCTTCCAGAAAGTAGACACACACACAAGGTGCATATGCAAGTCAAATATTCTCTGTAAAGCTGAATGCTGGTGTTTATACACACACAAAATAAATTATTTTCTAAATCAAGGGCACATTTGGGACTTTAGAAATCATAGAGTTTGATACCCCTGAAATCTTAAAATCCAATACTCCTCCCCAAGAGCGCTCCCAAAACCAAACATGGCAAAAGTTGTGGGAGAGAGTTAGAAATTAGTTTTGAAGTGGTTGATACAGGAAGCCTTTGTGGAAAAAGAAAAGGCTTAAGGAAAGGAGAGATTGCTTGGTAAGTGGGAGATGGTTCCAAGTATAGAAGGAAAGAAAAAGTAGAACACAATGATTGGGAGGAGTGCAAGTAATATAGATGAAGAGTGGTGGGGTTTTTTTTTTTTAGTTAAGTCAGTTTAAGATAAGGAAATCTTAGTTTACTAAATTGTGTTTGCTGGAAAGTTCACCAGTAGATGGAGTATCTGAGAAATGTGAAAGTAACTCACCAGAAATTAGGCCAATTGTGATATACATCTCAACAACTGTGCGTGCAAAGGAGGCTGTGACCATTCCAATACTGATCAATATACCTCCAACCATCACCACGAGACGATGACCAAAACGATTACTTAGGACTGTAGACAATGGAGCTGCAAAGTTGGGGTAGGAGAGTGAGGGGGACAGAAGTGCATAAAACATGACAATTCTGTCTAACTCCTGTTGTCTCAGATCTCTTCTCCCCCATTTATACCTCCTTTCAATCCCTCTAGTTACTCATACACCCTATACCTTTGCTACTCTATCCACACTTCTGCAAGCATTTTATACCCAGGGAGCAATTCTGGAGCCTGAAATAAATACTGTGGGTGAAATCTTGGTCCTATTGAAGTCAAAACTCCCACTTCAGTGGAGCTACAATGCCACCTTTTGTACTTTTATAGCACTTACCAGCAATGTATGGTAAGTCACTTAAAAGTCAAAACAAAAGTTTGGTGCTGATCATAACCTCACCCCCCTTTATACGTATGGAAATTGATGTGCAAAGAAGTTAAATGACTTGTACAGCTCACACAAGAAGTCAGAAGCAAAGACATGTACAGAGCCCAGATCTTCTTCTGCATCCCTGGTCTTGTGGTAGTTAAGAATAAAAATGCAGAAGTGAATTGTGGAATTAGCAGAGACGAAGGCCATGTCTCTACTTGCCACGCTGGAGATAGAGCTTCTGGCATTTAATTTAGCAGGTCTAATAAAGACCCGCTAAATCGAACGCTGAGGAGCCCCCCAGTTGGCGTTGGTGAGGAAGCCGAGAGGAGCATTTGCTCCTGTCGAACTCTCACTGTGCAGATGGCACTGAGGTAGGTATGTTGACTCCAGCTATGTAGCTGGTGTTGCATACCTGAAGCCTACCTTCCTGGCCTAAGAAAAGGAACTGATATGTAGAGTGGAGGATGGGCTGAATAATGACTTATCTGTTTATTCCCTTTTTCTTTATGGTTTGTGATCGTGGGATATGCAGTCTACAGTAATCACCGATAGCTTATATACTTCTCCCTCCTCTGAATTAAGTGTGATGTGAATGAGTATAAATTCCAATATTTATATGGGTGCACTAGTGCCATGCCACACTGACCCTTAATAATTTTCAGTTCAAACTGAGAATGTACCATGTGCTTACCTGTAAAAGTTAGTACAAAAACACATATTGAAATTATCCAGGATATCCTGCTGTTGGTTTCATCGAAGCTTTCCATCAAATCATTAAAGAAGACTCCAAATGATTTTATAATACCGTAGGTAAGTGCTTCCACGACAAAGAAAGCAAAAGCAACAGTCCACCCCCATCCTCCGTCAGGCACTTTCGTATAAACATTAGGAGTGGCGCACAACATTTTTATAGCTTTGACAGTCATTCTTAATCTGGAAGAGAGAGAACACAAGGCATCTTTTTAATTCTATTTTTTTTTTACAAAGTCTAATAAGACTAATAATTATAACATGGCATAATGTATTGGTGAGGAAAGGCACTTTCTCTGCTGCTGTGAGTTTAAACATGGGGGCTCCAGAAGTTTCTTTTTTCTATGAGATAGGAGTGATTTGCTAGTGGGGCCTTTGAATCATGAACCAGAAGCTTATAACTTGGCATGAAGACAAGCGGTCCCAAGTCATCTAAGTTAAATGCAGAAGAAATGCAGTTCATGGAAAAATATGCAGAAGAGCCCACAGGGCTCATGAAATGAGACAGACTTCAGAACGGTATCCTGACAATTACGTTTTGCTAGCTTGCTGCCCTTTACCAAAAAACTAAAGTAGTAGGGGAGGCTGAAACTTCTCTACTGTATTTCTTCCAGGATCTCGCGGTGGTCTCAGACCCCTGCACAGCTCCACATGGTCTCTGCAGAATTGGTTAGGTACATAAATCATCTAGAGGCTGTTTTTTTCCTTGTGGCTTTTAAAGCCATGAATTGCTTTCCTGAATGGCTGCCAAGAGTCAAGGAAAGAGAGTGGAGTGACTTGGATCATCAACCTAACCTCTTGAAGATAGGGGGAAAAAAACCTGTTTTCTTTCACCTCTCCCTCAAGTAGCCAACATAAATTTGGAGATGGGTGTAGCCCCCTCGTGGTTCTTGGGGCCAGGAAACATTGGTCAATTTCTGAAGCTTTTTCCATGGTAAGAAAGATTTGTTAAGATGAGTTCGATGCTGAGGAAGTTAAAGGTGACCCGCAAAACAGAAAGAACGCTCTGCTTCAGCATGATGGATTGAACACTCATAGCACTAATAAAGGAGGGCACTGAACACACTATAAAGGAAAACCACGTGTCCCCCTGCACAAGTCTCAAGTTGTGACATGCCAGGTATCGCAAATAGTGCTCAGTGAAACAGTCATGCATCTGGTGATTTCACATTCACCACTGGTACCTTCTGCAGGCTAGGACTAGCATAGACATATAAACAAGTCCTATTGTAAACATGACAGCATGGTTTCTGGAGTGGTGTGATACCTTATAGCAGGGGTTCTTAACCAGTGAGGTGTGCCTCCCCAAGGGAGGTGTGAAGCGGATACAGGGGAGGTGAGGTGCCTCCCAGAAAATATATTGCAATTGCCTTCTCACTGGATAAAATTCTAAAGTTTAGATTTCTTCATAATCAATATTATGAATTAAAATTATAAACATTAATTAACTTCTAGAGATCGGCACACTACAATAGTTCTTATCGTTCTAGCCACGCCCCTTAGCTTCCTGTCAGGTGCGGGGCTAGGCCGTGGGGGGGAGGGGGGTGTGAACGTGAAGTTCACTTTCAGGGGAAGTGTGAAGGTAAAAAGGTTAAGAATCCCTGCCATACAGGATATTAAGCTAGACCCAAATCATTCTGATGCAACTCTGTTGATGTCAGTGGAGCTATACCAGGGATAAACATGGCCTATTCGCTTTAAAAAGCCAAGCACTACTATGTCTCAAAACAAATCAACAGAAAAAGATGCACCCCCCCCTCCAACCCAGGGTTAATCTTCATTTCCAACGATGCCTCCAAACATCACTCCGTAGTGTTTTCTGAAAACTGACATTATAATGAGCGTGACAGCATCAAGACGAATCATGGAGTCCCTGTTGCCAGCTAACCAGAGTAAGTTAAGACTCCATTTTATTTTGTAAGCTTTCAACATACAAAATTGCAGAGAGTCCTTTCTCTTTCTGGAGCTCCCACTGAAAACCCAAGGGCCTCTGTCATAATGATTCTCCTGCTAGTTGAGAAGGGCTGTGACTTGTGCTTCTGAGTAGGATGGGCAGAGAGCAATCAGAGACATCCTGGTCTATACCAATGGTGGGCATTTGTTTCCAGTTGCCCCCACACAAGGTAAAAGTTTCATCCGAGTAGTTTTTAAAGCAAGGGTGTGTAATGTGAGGTGCATGTTGTCTACACACAATATTGATTGTGAGAGCCGTGTGCTCCCTCTGCATCTAGTCAAAGTGCTGCTACGGTTCAGTCTGCACAACCTGCAAATTCTGTGTCCGCCAGCGTAGTGAGCATAACTGTCCTATCCGTGGAGACCAGCTTGGTTACAGCAGTCTTGCGGCCCACTGAGATGGAGGGCTTTTATTTAGCCCTGCTCATTCCCCAGGGAATTCCCTTCCAGCCCACTTATCCATGCAGCAGCAGGGTGAGTGGGGTGGTGGGCAGCCAGTTGAGCTGCAGCTGAAGCCAGGACCACGATGAGGCTGTCCTACTGGGGCAGCCTCAACTTGGCCCTAGTTCTAGCTCTGGCAGCTGCTACACAGCCAGCTGCTGGGGCCACGTGGAGCGTGGCTGTCCCTGTGACCCTATTCTCCTCCCTCCCTGCACAGCAGGAGCCTCCCCCTGGCCTCTAGCTGCTCCCAGCTGGCAGGTGTACACATTATTATTATTCATTATGAAATGCGTAGGAAAATATGAATGTGCAGAATGTGTCAGCACCATCAGACCTGTTACCTACTGCCTCTTTAATTCTGGTGCAGTAGAAGCAAAAGGTTTGGGCTGGAGAATTCGCTTTAACAAGTGTTAACTATTTTATTGGTTTTTTAAAAAGTACATGTGCAGCAGTTTTTCAAATTTTTGTTAACCATCATGTCCCCCCTCTTTGATTTGCCTGATATACCATGGGCTAAAATTACAACAATGAATATGCAAATGTATTAATCACCATAATGAATATGCAGATATTTCAGTGCCAGTCCACCAACCGTTTTTGAATAAGTGTGCTGGTCCACAATATAAAAAAGGTTGGGGACCACTGCTTTAGGGTGTCAGTTCTTCCTATTTACAGATTGAACCTCTCTAATTCAGCAACATCTGTGGTCTAGTATTTTAGTTATTCTGCTGTCAACTTATCATAGGTGCAGCCAGGTTTCCCAAGATCTCAAAGTTTGTTTTCAGCTACCAGTGCGGGCTCTCAGTGTTCTGTGCTGTTATTTAGCTCTAATCTACCTCTAAATGTCTTCTAAGAGCCCAGTAAGCAGTGGAAGTATTGTTAATGCTGCTAGACAATATTGACTTTCTGTGGTTAGGCACTGGTCAGATCCCGAGGGTGCTGAACTAAACCTGTACCTCTTACTGTACGGTGCTCAGAAAAACGGGACCCTGACCTCTAGATACTATAGTGGCACAAAAGGCTAATACCAACCTTGGATCTTGAACTATTCCCAGCTGGTTGCTGTATCTCTGCTTTTTTCCACCCCCAAAATCTTTACACAATGATTTCTTTTCCTCCTTTCTACCTGCATAGGTTCAAAAAAATCCATACATTTTTAGGGGGAGAAAACTCTAAGGTGTCTGTTTAGGTTTTGTATGCTATTTTCAGGCTAAGTTTAGAGTTCAAGGATGAATTTCAAACTGAAACACAGACACACCTTTTAGTGTAACAGATCTGTATGTAGGGCATACTCTTTGCTAGATTGTGATCTATTCATTAAAAGCTGGCCAGTCGATCATGTTGATATTCAGGACATGCATGTAAGTATATTAAAATGGACTTCAAGAAAAGATGGAAAAAGCTGTCGCAGGGCATTTGATACAGGTCACCGACTAATTACAAAATCTAATTTTTAACTGTGATTAAGGATTTACAGTTTTGCCCCTTGCTCCATGAAGATAACACTCCTGGAAGCTGAAGAGTAAACCTGTGCTAGGAGACATGTTGTCTATGCAAACGCAACTTTTCCTACTTGGCTGAAGAGTGCAGTAGGACTTGTTTGTACTGAAGACTTGATGACTTAAAGAAAATGACCTGCTTTCTTTGGTTAAGCACAAAGGGTCAAATCCATTCAAGTTGTAAATCACTTAAGTACAGTTAGTGACTGTACGCACAAAGACCAAATTCCTTACAGCTCGCTAGAAATGGCAACTACTTAATCATTATTTATTTCCAACAATGGCCCCAATATGCAATTTGATTTCTTAACAGAAGACGGTCACTGCCCAGAGTAGTTTACAATTAGGGAAACTTATTATTATAATGGATTTCAGAGATGCTACAGCAAGTCTCTTGTGAAAAGTGCATTTCACACTGATGCTGGCTTGAAGGAACACTGATAGGGGGCTTGTTTTTGTAAAGGTTTTATAAAGTTACAATGTATACTTTTCCTATCACACTGCTGTACTCATTTGTCACTATTTAAATCCAGCCAGAGAAAACTGGTTGGAGATATTTGTTCTCAGCACTATGTCAAATAACAATAGCTTCCTAAACATTTTACAAAATGGGGATTGGGAACAAACCTTAATGATTTAGGGCCAACTTGTGCTGTGTAGGCACCTAGCAGAAGTGATGCTCTGAGCCATAGGGTGGATAGGATGGCAGCTTTCTGCTTTTCCTCCTTCAATGGAGCACTCAGGTCCACCTGGCAGATTTCACCAATCTTGTACCCTCCCCAAAGCATGCAGGATGCTTTCTGCTCTGGATCTCAGTGCTGCTTTACTTGCTCTTCCTATGCACTCTGGATCCTCTCCAAAATAGATCCCTGATTCAACAAAGCAGTGGAGGATGCCTTCCTGTCCATCGCTAAACAAGCGGATGCCCCCACTGACTTCCATGCTTTGCTGAGTAAGAATGAATGGCTTTGCTTTATGGCTCTTACTTGACCGAATCAGGAACAGGACGCTGCTGAAGTACAGAGCATTGGGAACTTGCCCTGGGGTGAAAGCAGGGGAGTGCCCACCTCTTGCTCCAAACTTTGGAGGAATCTTGACACCCGCCCCCGCAGTGGGGGGCACTAGGAATACGGTGGGGGGGGGGTACCGATCTTGGGCACTAGAGGTCATCACTAATGGGAGAAATTAGGAAGAAAGCGGTCTGGAAATGTGCACCCCCAATCCAATGTTAAAATATAGGGGAAAAATTTGGGTGCAAAAATCCCTCTCCTGGTTGGGATTTGGGGAACCCCCGCATGGGTCTCACTTACCGGGTTCGCGGGGAGGAGGGCCCCCCCGGCTGCAGCGGGGGTGCGAGCT